TCTTTTCTATAGTGTTCAAACTCTCTGCCAAGAATTGAACTCACAGACCATTGCAATTTAGATAATTATATACGGGGCATTATTTTTAGGAGCTATCAAGGTCTGCTCTCAACGGTGTTGCAGGAAGCTCTTGAGTTACAGCCACTTGTTCCGTGACCGTTCAAAATTACAACAGCGCTTGAGAGAAAGGGACTTAGAATCGGTCCTCAAAGTTAGAGCTATCACAGGAGTCCTTGTGGTCACCTGGTCATCTTTCGTGTGTTTGGCAAACGACTCGCAATCACAATGGTTGCAGCATCCATTGGTCATGTGATTTCCATGCTGACTTCTCATAAGCAGTGGGGAGACTGGCAGGAGACCTCAGGTTGTGCCCACTTCTTCTGCTTTTCTGAACATTTATTCCCCTGTGCTCCATAGCATCTACTACTATGCTTCTGCAGCATCTAATCACATTGGCCAATGCTCGGTTGGCCCACCCATGCTCCTGTGCCTGCCAGCACTTCATTGCACCCACCCACATACCTCCTTGCCTTCTGTAGTGCCTGCCCGTCGTGCCCGCCCATGCTGTGTAGCGCCCACCGGTGGCACTCACCTCCCTGCTCAGGCAGTTCTCGCTATTGCTATTGCATCTCTCGCTCTCTCTTCTTCTATATACAGGTAGTCCTCGACTTACGACCACAACTGAACCCAAAAAATTATGTTGCTAAGCGAAATAATTGTTAAGTGAATTTTGCCCCATTTTACGACTTTTCTTGCCGCGGTTGTAAAGTGAACCATTGCAGTTGTTAAGATCGTCACGCGGTCGTTAAGTGAATCTGGCTTCCCCATTGATTTGCATTGTCAGAAGGTCACAAAAGGGGATCCCATGACCTTGGTACACAGCAACCGTCGTAAGTATGAACCCGTTGCAAAGCTTCTGAATTTTGATCATGTGATCATGGGGAGGCTGTAAAAGTTGTAACCGTGGAAAACAGTTTTTAAAACTTTTTAGTGCCGTTGTAACTTTGAATGGTCACTCAATGGACCGTTGTAAGTTGAGGACTAACTGTAAGTAACATACAGTATTGATTTACAAATGAAGAGATAATAAATATATGTATCCAAAACACAGTAAAACCCGCAGAACATAGAAAAAAATGAAAGCCAAACGATTATTAATACCAAATGAAGGACCTCTTGTTTAGCCTTCATAAGAACAGACCAGAATAGCACCTTGATCTGAACTGGTAGCATTTTGAAGCTTTGCCATCCTTCACTGAAGCTGAAATGTTAGAGAAAGCCCTTCTGTTTTCCTTCATGGGGACACAAAGAACAGCAAACACTCGTTGGGGATGTTGTCCTTTCATTGTAGCCCTTTGTTGTGTATGCGATGTGGCCTTAAAAAAAGAAAGACAGACTTAAGGTTGTTGTTGTTTTTTTAAAAAAAAGATCTGCAGTGCATTTTCAGTGTTAAGCTTTCCAGTAATAACTGTGGTGGAATGTAGCCTGGATTCCCATGAGGGAGGGGACATTTCAGAGGAGTAAGAGACAACTCAGGCCAGGTGGTTCTCATGAGAGAATGAGGGTGAAGACAGTTTCTCCCTAAATAGTATTTGCTTTATGGGGTGGTAGCAATGGTGGGATTCAATTTTTTTTACTACCAGTTCTGTGGACGTGGCTTGGTGGGCGTGGCAGAGGAAGGATACTGCAAAATCTTCCATTCCCGCCCGACTCCAGGGAAAGGATACTGCAAAACCCCATTCCCTCCCCATCTCACTAACCTGCTTTCCAGCTCCATTCTCTTGTGTAGGGCAACAAAAGAAGTCTCAGCCAATCAGCTGGGACTCGGGAGGCAGAGAATAGATGGGGGCGGGGCCAGTCAGAGGTGGGATTTGCCGGTTCTCCGAACCACTCAAAATTTCCGCTACCGGTTTCCCAGAACTGGTCAGAACCTGCTGAATGCCACCTCTGGGTTGGTAGAATGCTTTAGTTTGGCAAATTTCTGTATATGGGTGAGGAACATTAAATAAATCACCTGGGAAGAATCACAATGGGGCTTAATGGTTTTTGGAGCCTGATATAATGGAGGAATTTAAAATGTTTCACGCTAGTTTTGTAGGAATCTTTACCCCAGGTTTTCCCGGTGGTTTTCTTGTCTCTTGGGATAATTACATCACTGCATCTTATTTGGTTTAAACTGAAAAGGCCAGTTTCAGTCTGGACCGTTGCACAAGAGTAGAAGATATCTTAAAACGAAAGAGAAAAAAAAATAATCACCCCTGAAAAACAGCAAAAAAATCCACTTTAGTTTTAAAGCAGCTGCTCTCAAATTAATGACTGCTGATTCCAAACCTGTGTTGGGTGTGGGAAACTTTTAAACATCAGATGTACAACTGTGGGGGCAAAGGTTTTACGAAAGTTTTTTCTTAGTTAAAACAGTACAGAGTCCAAAAGTAATTTATATACATTTCTTGAACAAAGATGCAATTGTGTCATAATGATTTTTAAAAAAAGGAGTGAATTGTGATGACATTTGTGCTCTGGGAAAGATTAAGCCAATTAACTGACAGGGTGTAAACCTCCAAAGAATCGGATGAAGGATATGCAGAGGTACAAAGTATAACATCCTGGTAAGAAACGGACACGGGAGAACAGAACAGCCTGGGTTCTTGGGACAAACTTGATGCGTATCAACACCAACTAAAGACACACAACTTGTGATTTCATATTGTTGTGTATGGAACCACCTGCCTGAAATAATCTGCCTGATTCCCAGCAACTTTATGGTCTACAAATTGTTAAAAACAAGAAAATGGCCCAGAACAAAGAAATAAAAGTGGCAAGAGAAAAGGAAGGGGAAGGGGAAGGGAAGGAGAGGGGAGGGGAGAGAAAGAGGAAGGGAGAAGAGAGGAAGAAAGGAAAAGGAAAGGAAAAGAAAGGAAAGGTCAATACCTTACTAGGTAGACCAGTCAGGAAACACAGCCAGATAAGCTAATTCTACTTTATTATAAAGCTACACTAGCAGAATCTTCCAAGTCTGAAAGTACAATTCTCCCGCCATCAGTTTCGCAGTCTAAGAACTTAGAGAAAAATCCTCATAAGCTTCTTGCTCCATCCATTGTGCAGCTACAGACTTTGCCGCCTCTTATCCAGCTGTCCCCTAGCCTAGGCAGTGTCTCTGGCCCCAGTCTTCCAGCATATCATGTCACCAATTATGATGTGACTGAGGAATTCTGGGAGTTGAAGTCAACAAATCTTAAAGTTGCCAAACTGTACCCCTAATCTAGAGTGAAACCGGCTTCTCCATTCAGCCTTTCTTTTCATAGCATATTGCAATCACATCTCGGCAAGGAACAAGGAGTAATAGCTGTGTGAGAGATCAAAGTCTATTTCTGCTTTCTCCAGTTAGTGTACGTTTATCTCTGCCTCTTTGTTAATAAAGAGGGCCTAAGCCTTATTGGTGGCAAATGGTTTAAAGTCGATTAAATTTGCACTGTGGAATTTGGGAAAGCCTAACACAAGCATGACTGGTTTAAATTTGGGACAGCTGAAAAATCCAGGTAAATATAGGGTGGACTGTCCCTTTAAATTTTAAATTTTAATCAAAACTTAACATATTGTGTATTGTTTTTAGAATTGATCTGAAAATTTTAAAAATTTGGACTGGACATTGTGAGGGACTTCAATGCAAAACATTTCTCCAAATTATTTCAGTTTGCCCTTTTTTATTGCTACTTAGTCTGTTCATTTGTAGCTCTTCTTTATGACATTTTTTTTTGTGGTGGTCGTTAAGAGAATGCTACACTCATTAAGCAGACCCATTGCTCTTTTGCCAGAAACTGGAAGTAAATGCTAGTTTCCATTAAAAGAAACACACCCCATAAATTATGGTCATGTCACTGTGGGATGCTGTGAACAGCCATAAATACAAGCACATGAGATTGGCAGGGACGGGAGAGAGCCAGAGGTGGTATTCAGCAGGTTCTGACCGGCTCTGGAGAACCGATAGTGGACATTTTGAGTAGTTTAGAGAACCGGCAAATACCACCTCTGACTGGCCCTGCCCCCATCTATTCTCCGCCTCCTGAGTCCAGCTGATTGGCTGGGTCTTGGTTGCCCTGCACAGGAGAACGGAGCTGGAAAGCAGGTTAGTGGGGTGAGGAGGGAATGGGATTTTGCAGTCTCCTTCTCCTGCCACGCCCACCAAAGATCCGGTAGTAAAAAAAATTTGAATCCCACCACTGGAGAGAGCCCATTGTCAGTTCTTTGTAACTTTGAACATTCCCCAAGTAATCTTCCCTGATAAACGAGACTTGCAACATCCATTTGAGAAGGACTGATTGGCAGATAGAAAACAGTGGGGTAAATTGCTCTCAGAAATAGTCTACACACACACACACACACACACACACACACACACACACACACACGAAATTCAGTGGACCACCATCATCTTAGACCTCCAGAAGGCTGCAAAGCCTTGCCTTTTCCCAATTTGTCACTGTTGTATCTTATGAAAGTCTTGTGTGGTGTCAATTTGTATCTTATGAAAGTCTTGTGTGGTGCCTGAGATCTTGCTTTTTCCCCCCTAGTCTGTATTATTTCACTGGGTTATGATTTTTATATTGTCGTTGTAAGTATTGTGAGCCACTCAGAGGTATGCACTTAAGATTAGCAGCTATAATATTTTTGAGAGGCCCTTGATGGTCTCTGAGCTTGGTTGTTTTGTTGCAGGCGTTTCATTACCCAACTAGGTAACATCATCAGTGCTAATGATGCACTTTTGGGTAATGACATGCCTGCAACCAAGCTCAGAGAGTACCTCATGTCAACCCGGAGTTACAAATATTCTTCTCCTTTATCAGTATAACAATTTTCCAAATTATTAAATATATCCTAGAATGTATGATAACAGTTTTGGTGCCAGTTTTTAGCACTCACCATTGAAGAAGGCTGCACCACTCACTTATTTGATCTAAATGTCTTCCCACTGATTCCTGGTTTATTGTAATTTTCTTTAGGTGGACCTATCATGACTTCTTGAATCGGTATCGAGTGCTTATGAAAGACAAAAGTATTTCGAAAAAGAAAGACAAGACAGTGATTTGTAAAATATTATTGGAAAGCCTAATTAAGGTATGATGCCAGAGCTACTGTATATTATTAGATCAATCAACCAACCAATCAGGTTGGTACATGATCCAGCATCCCTCTAGTCCTAAATCCATAATTCTACCTCTCCGTTTAACTATAGCCCAAAGCACCTGAAAAATCATTGCAACTCATTTAAAATCATTGCAACTTTTTTGTCAGAAGACGGGAAAAAGAATGATGGGATCAGTGGAATTACCGACTTGTCTCGAAGAATCATTTCAATATAGCTGAATTCTTCTCCTTATTGAAAAAAAATATTTGCCTGTCGTCATGTTCCTATTTTAACCATATTTTGTTAAGGGCCAACTTGGATACATCTTATTTGTTCTACCATATTTAATTTGTATTTGATTCAGCCAAGCAAAACACTCGGATTAGGTCACATATTGCATTAAATAATGGTATGTTCAAATTTGGTGGAGGGAAGGAAGGAAGGAAAATCTAGGGATGGAGAAGGGAAGGAGGGGAAACTAGGAAGATGGGAAGAAGGAAGGGAAGGAAGGAGGGAAAATCTAGGGAAGGGGCGGGGAAACGGAAGAAGGGGAAGGAAGGAAAATCTAGGGAGGGGGAAGGGAGGGAGGGAGGGAAGGGAAACTAGGAAGAAAGAAGGGAAAGGAGAGAGGGAGGAAGAAAGGATTTTTAAAACTCTTGGTTTTCCTTTTATACTTTTCCAAGGATCCTGACCAGTTTCAGTTTGGACGTACAAAGATTTTTTTCCGTGCTGGCCAGGTGGCCTACTTGGAAAAATTGCGGGCAGATAAGTTCCGGAGTGCCACCATCATGATACAGAAGACCATGCGTGGCTGGATGCAGAGGAGAAAGTACAGGAAAACCAGGGAGGCAGCTTTAATTATCCAGAGGTTCACCCGAGGATATCTGGCACGCAGGTAAGCATAAAGTGAACATTTTCCCCAAGAGAATTTGCTTGCTGGAAATGTGGGAATTTCTTCACCTAGCATATATGTGGCGGCATAGCGGCTTACTGGTTAAGATGCTGGGCTTGGCAGCTAGAAAGCCAGCAACCCAGGTTCGAGACCTGAGACCTGAGTGTAGCACGATGGGTGAACTCCCATCCTCACCCCAGCTCCTGCCAGCCTAGCAGTTGGAAAACATGAAAATGCGAGTAGATAAATAGGTGGTGTGGTTTGCCGGCAGCTGGTGAAGATGGCAGTGGAGTCAGACAGTGAGGAAGAAAGGGGACGAGGCAGGGAGTCTGGAGAAGGCTTGGACGAGGGTCCTGCTTCCGATGCAGGGATGGGGCCAGGACCATCTGAGAATGGGGTGCTGCCTCCGGAGCCTCTGGAGTCTGGCAGCAGTGAGGCAGAGGACCCAGGGGAGCCTGTTCCCAGTGCGTGTGTGTGCAGAGCTGCTAGAAGGCGAGAGCAGCTGAATCAGAAGGGGCAACTCAGGAGTAAGGCTGGGAGGTGATTGCCTCTCCCATAAGGGATAAAAGTCAGACCTCAATGACGAACTCTTTGCAGGAAGCAAAGTAGGTCAATAGATTCTGAGTCGTCCTTGAAGCTCTGTGTACTCTGGTCGGTTTTTTTCTGGTACTTTGGTTGGTTTCTCTTATAATTAATTTGGATACTTCTGTTTTTGGCAGCATTCCACAGCACTGAAAGGCAGGTGCTTATCTTGGGGAACTGTTTAAGATTAGTTCTGGCTGGGAATGAAAGTAATTCCCAGCACTGCATTAAATTAGGTTTTACTTTTAAAACAAGGTTGTGTTTCATTACGTTTGAGGAAACCTGGGTCAGAACAATAGGCACCATTTTAGTGGGAAGGTAACGGCGCTCCTTGACATCATGCAGGCTACATGACCATGGAAATGTCTTAGGACAACATTGGCTCAAAGGCCTTGAAACAGAGATGAGCACCGCCCGCCTGGAGTCAACAGTGACTAGCAGAGTAAAATCCCCAGGGATTCCTTTGTATATGGAAAGCTATTAAGTTGGAGAGCTTCGGTTTTAGAATAAGAAGTTTTATATGAGCAAGGTTGAAAATTAGATATATGGATTATGTGAATTTTATTAGAGAGCTTAAAGACCGTTTAGCCCCTGAGTCCAATGCTCTGTTCCATACAGAAATATATATTTAAGCTATTCAAACCGATAGCTATTCAGCTTTCTTGGAGCACATCTGGTAAAGCTGCATCTATCATGTCACTAGCAGTTATTAAACTGTTCTTCTAGGATTTTCTCTCTCTCTCTCTTAATAGTAAGCTATTTTATTCATAAATTGGGAAACTGCCTGGGATACAGGCAATTTCTATGGCATTTCTTTTTAAGGTCTCCACCTAACCCAGAAACCCCAGTTACTACAATTAACCCAATCACAAAACATACAAAAAAGAATAAAAAGAAAGAACCTCAACAGAAAAGGACATTTTTTTTAGAATTACTGTATAAAAATTATTTTATAACCACAAATGAAACCTTGACCTGCCACCCTTTTTTGCCTACAGTAGATAGTTAAAAAACAAAAGCGCAAAGAATATTATTCAGTGTCCTGCTCTCTGAACTGCCACCGGTACTAGAGTAATAAAATTCTCTTTATGCTCACGCTACCACAAAGGAAATAGAATAAATTTCTAATGCCCCCCAGTCATAGTTTTCAGCTCATATCCTTGTCTGGTACATTGGGGGAAAACAATGTGACAGTGGCTGTGATGGAAAGTACACCAAGAAAGGTCATTTGTAAAAAATATAAGTAGAAATGTTTAAATTTTTCAAGATCTTCTGAGCTCCTTGCTACCATTCCTCTGCTCCAGGGGTCCCCAACCTGGGCCATGGCCTATTTGCAAGCAGACTGTGTGAAGGCCCGGGTAGCGGGCGCATATGCGTGGGCACACAACCCCACTCGCACAAGCGGTTGCAGCCCCGCTTGCACGAGCATCATGGGGGCTCACGGCCCTACTTGCGCGAGCATCGTGGGCACTCTCAGCCCCGCTCGCAAGCACTCAGGGCCTTGCACGATTGTCGTGGGCTCTCTCGACCCCACTTATGTGACCTAATGGGTGCTCGTGGATGTGCACGCATGCACGCACATATTCACCCCTCCCACAAAACCATCCCCTCTTCCCCCCCTTCCTCGCTCTGGACCACCAACCCAGAAAGGTTGGGGAACTCTGCTCTGCTTCATTTAGAATCCCTGTGTGATGACCTGGGGTGTGGCACAAAGGCAAGGTAATCAAAAAGAGTCCCTTTATTATCTTCAACTTTGCCCCCAATATCCTGGTTACCTTCTGGCTAGAGAAAAACTTTCCCAGGAACAGCTTTGACTGCAGAAAATTAAGTCCAAAACATGAGCAACACAAACTGTAACTTAAAGTCCAAACAAGCCAAACTGAAGAAATTAGTTTGGCAGGGCATGAGCAAGAATTTCAGACTTGAAAGCACAGCACAACTCACACAGTTGGGAAGATGCCAGGAACACAGATAAGCCACGACAACACAGAATAAGCTCACATTTGCTCCCAGCAGCCTGCCTCACGCAGCCTGCCTTCCTTATCAACTGTCTTCCCAGCTGTGGCTAATGAAGGTAATCAGGGCCCTTTCCTCCCCCGTAAGCCACGCAACCCACATTGCTCTCTTAAGTCCAGTTGCCTAGCAACCCTTCAAAGTTAGAACAGACCTTTCCTCCAAACCTCCTTATGATCTGATTTCAAAGTTATGACTGCTGCCCCTCCCTCAACGGGGGTCACATGATCACCTTTTGAGTTCTTGGCAAATGGCTCACTTTTATGGCCATTTGCAGCCACATGACTGCAGGTTTTTTTATGCTCTTTTTTTTTTGCCGGTTTCTAATATTTGCTTCCAGTTTCTGGCAAAAATCACTCGTTGAATAAAATGGATTTGTTTAATGACTGCAGCATCCGCTTAATGTCTGCAGCATTTGTTTAATGATTGCTGCAAAAAAAAAAAGTTATAACATTGAATCCAGTCACACGATGACCTGTAATGGCTTATTAACTGTAATTCTGGGCTCAATTGTGGTCATAATGTTGTGGACTACCTATAACCAGACATTTTCCACAAAAGTTGAGACCAAGATTGAATGTTACTATCGTGGCTAAATTGGCGTGGGAGAGATACATTCAGACAAAATGCAATAAAACTTTATTGGATGTAGTGATGAAGAATAATGGCTGCTCTGAGTCTAGAAAATAGAGTTGAAATAGTAAAACTTTCCACTGACAGAAAAATGAATTCTCTACAAACTTTGTAGAGCTACAGCAACTCAAAGGAAAACATCTCCAGTGGGACTGCCGCTTTTATTAATTCAATGTTTGGTTTAGTGATTAGGGTAGAAAGCGGGAGATACTGAGTTCAAGTAATGACCATTTTTCACAGTCATGACCGTTGCAGCATCTCCATGGACATATGATCAAAATTTAGACGCTTGGCAACTGGTTCATATTTATGAGGGTTGCCATATCCTGAGGATACGTGAACAGCTTTTGCGACCTTCTGACAATCAAAGTCAATGGGGAAGCCAGATTCACTTAACAACCACGTTACTAGCCTAAAACCTGCAATGTTTCACTTCACAGCTATGGCAAGAAAGGTTGTAAAATGGGGCACAATTCACTTAACAAATGTCTCACTTAGCAAAGGAGATTTGGGGCTCCATTGTAATCGTAAGTCGAGGACTACCTGTGTTAGTGAGGATGCCAACTAAAAAAACACTTCTTTGGTCTTTTTAGTTGCCAGCAGAAAGGGAGTGGGGGAAAGCAGTGCATTCCTTAAATGCTTCAGATAATCGCTTTGGCAGCTGAAGCTGTTGGCACTCAAGATTATTACTGGAGAGCATGATTGATGACTCCTGGCTATGGATGTGTCTCGTTGGAGAATATACATCCAGGGGGTGGGAGGAAGGCCAGGGTCAAGGATGAAAGGAATGATGTGTCAGAGTCGGCTGCAACCAGGAAACACCGACATGTTAACTCCTAATAAATCAATCTTTTTTACTCTGAGAGATGTGGCTAGAGACTTATGATTTGAATGGGGGTGCATGTTGGAGCCTTGACAGAGGAGCTATCTTTACCCTTTTTCTCTCACATACAACACACACACACACACAACTCTGGGCTGAGTTGCCTCTTACTCCTCTGGACTGCAGCTCCTCCCTCCTAGGAATCCACCTCCTTCCTATATTCCATCACATATCATGAGCCTAAGACGAAGCACCACATATTAGTACTCGTTGTGAAGTATATTGCTTTGAACTTCCAGAGAAGAAGTAGGAAGTGAAACAAATAAATAAATGAAGTGGAAATTGGTGGGGTTTTTTATAACTCTTATGGCTGTTTTGCAATTGGGGCCACTATTGACTTATTGTCAAAACCAAGGAACACGAAGAAGGCAACAGCACACTTAAAGGTATTGTGGTCAATAACTCACTTCTGCAAATGATGTCCATTCAGGACAAGGCACAATCCATCGCCAACAATTGTTGAGACTCTGTTGGAAACGGGATGGAGTAAAAAAAAAAAAAACTTGGAGGAAAGAACATCAGAGTGACAGGAAATCAGTACAGGAGCACTTCTGTTAGGAACAATTGGCTTGCATTGTCCTTCTTATTTATCGTTACTAAACCTTTATCCCCCTCGCCCTTCTGCAGATTGGCGGATCATCTAAGGAAAACAAGAGCTGCCATTATTTTCCAGAAACAATATCGAATGTTAAGGATACGCCGGGCCTACCAAGCCATCCGCCAAGCAGCTATCACGATCCAGTCCTTCACCCGAGGAATGTTCGTTAGAAAGAACTATCAAAAGGTTCGTTTCTTTGACTTTGTCTTCAGGGACACACAGAAAGGTTTACATTTCAGTAGCCCTGGTTTTTTTCTTTCTTCCGTTTCATGCTTCCTGGGAGTCAGATACAAGTCACCTTCAACTTATGACCAATAATTTATGGACCATTTTGAATGATGGCTTCCAAAAGGTCTCATAAAGAGACTTCTGGCCATCATAAAATGTTGTGCAAATAAAGAAGAATATTTGCAACTGAGGGTTGCAATGAGGGGTCCTTGGTGCTCTCTGAGCTTGGTTGTTTTCTTGCAGATGTTTCATTACCCCACTAGGTAACATCATCAATGCACTGGTGATGTGCATTGAAACATCTGCAAGAAAACAATCAATCTCAGAAAGCACCAAGGATGCCTCAGTGTTGTGCAGCCCTATTCAATCTCCTTGGTGATCACATGATTGCATTTCGGGCACTTGGTGATCAGCTCACTTTAACAACTGGTTGAAGTGTCCTGCGGTCATATAACCATGGTTTGATTTTTTTTTAATGACAAAAGCCACTCATCCAGACTTAAGAGCACGTGAATAGCTCAACAACCATTGTAAAACAGTCATAAAACCAGGTCCAGTCACGTCAGTTCCTCAATCTTCACGACATATGACTGAAATCCCAGTCCCAATTGTGGTCCTTAAATCAAGGACTACCTGTATAATCTTTAGTTTGTACCAGGTTCTTGGGTCCATGCCAACAAATCAAATGCTGGATATATTAGTTAATTTTCTGTGAAGGAAATTAAGGGAGTTCGTCCTTGGTTCTGCGAGCCAGGGGATGTACATATATGTTTTTGCATAACTTTGTTGTCTTAGTTTTGTTTAGTATTTCACAGTCAATCACAAATATAGTAAAACAGATTAAAAACAAATACTTTAAAAAACTGCTGAAAAGGAGCAGATAGGTGTTAATATAGTTATTGACCAATAAATAAATATCTGCCACTTTTTTCCCTTTAATTCAAGTTGGACTCGATTGTAAAACTGTAAAAAATTCATTATGTTAAAGATAAATAAGGATTTTGAGGTCCTCAACAATGCTACCAGACTATCAACATCACTTTTAAAAAATATTCAATCTGTCTTTAATACCGTCTTCCGTCCTGTGTAAAAATTTTCTTCTGAATTCCTGTTGCCTCCAGTGTAATTTAAGCTGCTTACTCTTCATCTGGATTACAAGTCTTGACTTTACTCAGAGCAAGCCAAATCACTTCACGCTTGGTTGTAAATTTCAAATTTCAAAACGCGGGTTTGCTATCTTGCATCTCTTAACCTTCGTTCTCTAATTGAATAAGATTGGTAACAGAATGGACATCTCAAAATGAGCTACACTGGGAATCAAGGGGTAGGTGCATCTGGTCCAGTGTTCTCAATCCTTATTAGCTTCTGTCAAAGTCTTAGATAGATATCTTGCCCATCAGCTTCCATGGTTTGAGGTATCTCTTCCTGTTTCATTGGTAATTAATCTGGAAAGACAGCCATCCATCCTATATATAAAACCTGAGCCCAACATTGATATTAATCCTATAACTTAGAGCAGAGGTCTCCAAACTTGGCAAGTTTAAGACTTGGGGACTTCAACTCCCAGATTTCCTGAGCTAACATGACTGGAGGAAGAATTCTGGGAGTTGAAGTCCACAAGTCTTAAAGCTGTCAAGTTTGAAGACGCCTCACTTAGAGGTTCACTTTGAAATCCTCAAATGAATGTCATCCTGTCTAAAGAGTACAAAGGTTTTATTTTCTTCTGAAGTAACCTTCAAACTGCTCTTGAAGGATTAACTAGTGACATACTCAACAGGCTATATCCAGTGTTTCTTAGAATACAAATGGGTAGCCTATTGCTATAGAGACTGAAGTTGTTTGATGGGTGAGAGCAAGAGGTTCTAAGAATAATAACTCACACCCTTGTTACCTATAGATTAGATTACGGCAGTGTGATATACCTGGGGCTGACCCTGAAGATTTCCCAAAAATTACAGTTGGGGTAAAAAGCAGCAGGCCCTCTGGCTAATGGATCAGAGCTGATTAACTTTACAGCATCTAAGCTGTAGGAACTTGCCTTGACTTTCAGTAGGTATCTGAGTAAAAGAGGCTGGTAATAGCCCATAAAACAACTTGAACCTGAGGCCAGATATCTTTAGGACTTCTCCAAAGAGGTTAATTATATCTGGGAGTAGATGCTCCAGGTTTTCTCAGCCCAGGAGCGTAGAAGCAGAGTGTTGTAATAGTTGTCTAGCTTCTTCCATAAGTCTCTCCATTGAATTCCAAATGGTTCCCTCCATGGGTCATCTTTAGCTGTCAAGAGTTCAGCTTCTTAGGCAGGTTCTTAGAGATCGAACAGCTTGTTCATTGTATTCTCACTTTATTCCTGTTTTAGTTTAATATCATTAGCAATATTAATTTTATGTTTAACTCATTGATTGGGGTATTTGAATTAGGTTCTAATTTATTATGGATTGAGATGCTGCACATTCTCTTTGCACCTATTAGCTGCTTTGACCACTCAGGCCAAACTGTAAGAGAAGAACAGGCAGAGCCTGGTGGTGGAGTTAAACAAGTAATCAGCCTAGAATCTTTACGTTCCCACAAAGAGTCTAAATCCAACCTCTCGTGAATTCTATTGACTTTTATCTAGCATCAATTTAGTCCTGAAAGTTAGCTGACTAAATTTCTGTGCATAGGCATGAACAATAGATCATTTTAATTGGAATAGCAGTACTTAGACTTATATACCGCTTCACGGTGTTTTACCGCCCTCTTCAAGCGGTTTACAGAGTCAGCATATTGCCCCCAGGAATCCTATGTGTGGTCCTGTTTCTTCACACTTGGCACAATCTAAGGGAAGAAGAGAGGATGGGAAAATTTCCCCTTCTTGTCCCAGTATCTACTTGTCATCTGGATTACGCTTAGTTAAATGAATCACGGTGTTTTAAAGAAAGGAAACTTGCTTCCTCTCTTTCTCCTAACCAAGCAGTTAAAGGAAAGATGCTTTTCGTGATGTCCATGTATTTCTGAATGAATGCATCGAATGAAGCTCGGGAAAGCATTCACTGAAAGCAGGACAATCTGTTCTCTGCATCCAAGACTAACTGTATTATAACCATTTCTTTCTTTCGAATGAGGCATTCTGCTACTTAACTTCTCGGAATAATTTAAAGCACTAATGAGGGACCCCTGCTGAATTCAGATGATCTCCAACATTGAATCCTTAGAGTTTTTGTAATTTAGTAGTCTATAAGTGTTTGGAAATAAGGAAGAAGTTGAGAAAACATTATTTGGAAGTATTTGCTGTAATTAATCCCCAGTGGGTTACCTCTATATGTACCATATGGGGAAATAATATATATAAGAAAGCTCAAATGTTAACTTAGTGATATTGTTCCATAGCTTTTAGCCTTGTCTTCCCTGTACTTTTTGCATTATTTAATAATTTATTACCTAACAGGAAGAAATTCCTGGACTACATGATAATATTTCATCTTCACCTATTTAAAGGCATAACTTGTGAGTGTACATCACTTACATTTCATTGATACCTTCTATTTCTTTAGTAACTCTTTCCACGTAGGGTTAATCTTGCCAGCATTTTTTGATCGTTAGGATTTTTTTTCCCCCGACTCAGAACTTAGATCACTTTCAGAGTACAGAAGCATAAACTGTAGATATTTCAATGTTTAAGCTACACAGACAGAAGCCATTTTTCTCCAGTTCTTCCAAGGCTTAATGAAGCCACATGGAAAAGAACCTCAGGGCAAATTGGAAAGATTATCAAACATCAAGCTAGAGAGAAAAATCTTCACACTTTCTGAGCCTAAGAGACACTACTCAGGAGCATATACTGAGTTGCCATTTTCATTCGTCTTAAACCCGGTGTCCAACCTTGGCAACTTTAAGAATGGTGGACTTCAACTCTCAGAATTTCCTAACCAGTCCACAAGCCTTAAATGTTTTTATGGAGATTCTCAGTCATCCAGGCCATGGTTGTCCGAAAGGTGCTTTTTCAAAAGGCAACTGGACTTTCTTTGTTTTTCTTTGAAGACGTTTCACTTCTCATCCCAGAAGCTTCTTTAGTTCTGGGCTTCAATTCTTCACTACAGAGTACATACATGTTATTGGCTATTCACCGTTCACAATTGCAGCAAATGGTGTGAATTTGCATTCCTCATATGAGGAATGAATCAAGGGAGAAACTGCTGTGTGAATAATACCACACTCTTGATTTTAATACAATTACTATGTTGGAATGGATCCAGTTGAATGTAATGCGAAGATGGTGAAAAAAAATAGATCAAGGTTCTACTGAAACAAATCACTGGGCTATTTTTAATAGATTAAATTGCTTACTGGCTCCTTATTTTAATAGTAGCACAACTGAAACACTGATCCATATTTCTATATAATATCCATACCTGCAGCCAGTGTAAAGATGTTCTATGGATTTAACCTAATTTTTGGAATGGTTTGATATTTTCAGCCACAAACGAACTGTACAAAATACATTTTCAAAACATGTTTAGCTAAAATGGAGTGGGTTAATTTGTATAGCTAGGATATTAAAACTTCTGACTTATGGCAAACCAAATACAGAATTGTTTTTATATGGCATACAAGTTATGGGCCATTTCTTGCACGATACCCCATTTTATTGATTTTGGGGTTCTAGTAAAACAAAGATAACCTTGCAAGCTTTATACCTGATACATATTCATATGTGATCTAATTCACCAATTTGTACTTAGCTGCAGGAACACCCTGTGCAGAGAAACTCAGTAATGTTCCTCTTTCCATTTTTGCACATTTTATAACGTCTTAGGCTTAAGTTGATGATGTAATGTTGACCCTGCCATCTCTGTTGGGACCATAATGGATGTTACAAATATTTGGAGATTTGGTGACTTCTTAGACGGTTGAATGGACTCCTAAGGTCAAAAATAATATTTCCTTAGTGCCATTTCTTCCTCCTCATACAAGTGCAGAAAATCAAAATGTGGCCAAACAATAAAGCATCATTTGGTGATGAACATTTTATGGCAAAACTGCGACCATTAACCTTCTCTAAGTAGATGCATGAATTGTTCCCACGGACCGCTTGTGAAATTTTGTGGTGGGGAATTTCCTTCCCACAGTGGTGCTGTCATGATGTATTGAATTTCAACTCTCATAACCACCCACAATGCAAGCAGGGGATTATGGAAGTCAGAAAATATCAAGAGACCACTAGATTAAGAACGGCTCTTGTGTATCAACTTTCTGATGCCTTTGCTCCTCAAAAACTGAGACATTCAGAGCTGTATATCCTCTAGAAGTATCTTCTTAATCTTATCAGGATGGCCCTCACTGAAAACATTGGGAGCACTTTTTGATTATGCTCTGTTGAAAAAAAACCCAAATTTGTATTTATCGTTAGAGAATGATCAATGACAACTAACATCTCCTATATGGTGTTTGGTACGTTGATGCATGCTACCATATTTTTTCCCTCTCTTCTGTATGTTGCTATGTGTTCATGTGCTTTTAAGATACTTATGGAGTACAAGGCCATCATCCTCCAGAAACACACTCGAGCTTGGCTGGCTAGGAAGAATTTATCCAAGTTCAGATGTGCGGCTGTGATTATCCAGTGCTATTTCAGGCGCATGAGAGCCAAGCAAGAGCTGAAAGCTCTGAAGATCGAGGCCCGGTCAGCCGAGCACTTGAAGAGGCTCAACATTGGCATGGAGAACAAAGTTGTGCAACTACAGAGAAAGATAGATGAACAGGTAAAATCCCACCAAGTCTTACTCTGTTGTGTGTAGTAGCTACATCACCCTCGTGCTCTTCATGGACCTATTTGCTAAAGGTTGCCTCCATTTTGTTTGCCTCTGTATCCACAGAATATTGTCCAGCTCTACAACTTGGTAGAATAGGTTGAAACTATGTATGAAAAACGTCAAGGTTTTGCGTTTTCAGTTGGTGCTTTAGTGAAAATTTCTTCATTTTCTTTTTTATAGCTAGGTAGTTCTTGACCTATGATCATAATTGAGCCCAAAATTTCTGTTGCTAAATGAATTTAAGTGAATTTTCCTCCATTTTATAACCTTCCTTGAAACAGTTGTTAAATGAATCACTGCAGTTGTTCAGTTAGTGATGTGGTTGTTAAGTGAATCTGGCTGTGATGTCCCAGGGCGTGACACAAAGGTAACACAGTCAAATAAGCAATAAGAGTCCCTTTATTATCTCCAACTTTCCCCCCAATGTCCAGGTTACCTTCAGGCTGGAGAAAAACTCTCCCAGGAACAGCCTTTAACTGTAGAAAATTCAGTCCAAAACAAGGTACAAAAAAACTGTAACTTAAAATCCAAACAAACCAAACTGAAGTAATTAGTTTGACAGGGAAGGAGCAGAAATTTCAGACTTGAAAGTACGGCAAAGCTCACACAGTTGGGAAGATGCCAGGAAAACAGATAAGCCACTACGATACAGGATAAAGTCACGTTTGCTCCCAACAGCTTGCTGCATGCAGTTTGCCTTTTTTTTATACACTGTGTTCCCAGCTGCAGCTAATGAAGGGAATCAGGGCCCTTTCCTCCCCCGTAAGCCACGCAACCCATGTTGCTCTCTTCTCCGTTCCTCCCTATGTGCCCTTGGGGGTGGGCCTGGGTCTTCCTCTGAATTCCCTCTCCTTTGTTTCACCTCTCCCCTGCTCTGCCCAGCCAGACTTTGCCCTTCCCCAGTTTCTTCTACAACCAATGGAGCCACACTCCCACTCCCTGTCAGCTGTTCGTCTTCCTCCTCCGAATCAGATTCTGACAGAGATATGACACTGGCTTCCCTTTTGACTTTGCTTGTCAGATGGTCGCAAAAGGTGATCTCATGTCCCAGGAACACTGTAACGTTTGATAAATATGAGTCAGTTGGCAAGAGTCCAGATTTTCATCACTTCCAGGGGGATGCTGCAACAGTCATAACTGTGAAAAACAGTCATAAGCCACTTTTTTCAGTGTCCTAACTTTGGTCACTAAACAAACTGTTGTAACTCAAGGGCTACTTCTGTCTGGATCTCCCTAGTGTTCTGAACTGAGCTATTTGCTAATGGTTGAGGTTTTTGTTTTGCCTCCCTATCCACAGAATATTGTCCAGCTCTACAACTTGGTAGAACAGGTTGTAAGTATAAAATTGTCAAGGCTTGACAATTTCCCTTTAGTGCTTTCGTGAACATTTCTTTGTTTTCTTTTTCTCAACCCTCTTTCCGTTTGATGACAAAGACTTTGCTTTGCTAATTTCTCCTGGGTAGGCAATGTGCAGACTTTCCACAGCGCAATCATATATCTCCTCTTTGGCTGTCTGAGCTTCTGCTAAAACCTAAGAGAAGCTCTAATGCTGGGAATTTTCCAGGAGGCTCTTCCAAGGATGCCACTTGGCCGCAAGATGTTTTTTTTTTTTTTAAGGCAAGGAGCCGTGAAATTTAAACTCGTAAGTTGAGACAAGGAGTGAAAGTTGTTAAGTAAAAAAATTAAATATCCAGGATGAATGATGACGGGACTCAGGAAAGTTACGTGAGGACTCCATAAGGCGGTGTGGAGTTTGGGAAATAATTCACAAAGTTATTTGTGGCAAGTTTCTTTCTTAAGGAAATGAGGGTACGTTCTGAATAGTCTCAGGCTGGGATGAGTAGATTTCATTCTTGGAACTATAGGCTAGATAATTTTGGGCGAGAGGGCAAATGTATGCCAAATTCTGGACTACTGTTTCTCAACCTTATCAGTTTTAAGAGGTTTGAACTTCAACTCCCAGAATTCAAGTTGAAGGGCATAGGAACTCGAACCTCTCTGAATCTCTTTAAAGCAACTACCAGTATATAACTGCAGCTGCTTCACAGTCCCAGCTGCTTTAAAGAGTTGTAGGTACAATGTCAAGGATCCTACATGTCAAAACGCCTTTCTATATTCCTATTTACAACATTGCAATACTCTAACATCTGTTCCAGGGGGCTTCAAATTTGGCAACTTTTAAGATTGGTGGACTTCAACTCCCAAACTCCCCAGCCAGCATTCTGGGAGTTGAAGTCTACATGTCTTAAAGTTGTGAAGTTCAGAGACCCCTGATTTAGTTATTTAAAAGTATGGGTGAGTTGTACTTTTACAGATCTTTCAACTGAGTAAAATTATCACACAATAATCTCAGGCTTTTCTCATATAGCTTAGGTCTTAACATCACTGTTGAAAAAGAAAATTCCACACACAAAAAAACCCTCTTGAAATAACTAGAAATAAATCTAAAGGTCAAAGCTGGCCAAACAAATTGACAGATAGATGTTTTCAATGTCCAGCAGCATAAAGCCAAAAGCCAAGCCGTGTAACCTGGCTTGATCCTAGCTCAGGCTGCATTAAATAAGAACACGGAAAAATTGTAAAGAGAAATCAGCTCTGTCTTCCATTTTATCAGGAAGGTAAATGAAAGCAAAGCCAGGCTTTGCTATTAAGCCTCTTTTGTGCCAATCCTCCAGCACTTATGGTCACTGAATGCTGGAAAAGCTATGCTAAACTAACAGTATATATGACAACAATCTCAGTTTCCTTATCAAGGACTACAAACAGAACCACTGGTTTCTTTTTTTAGAAGAAGGTATATATTTTTTCTGGCTCTCTCCTTCCATACAAAATAGATTTGCATTTGTTGCTCTCTCTTGGAGAGTTTCATAGCTGGAAACTCCTGATGAGTCTTGGTCTAAGTTGGCTGGAAAGCAACCTTCTTTCCAGGTTCGAGACCCGAGCACCACATGATAGGGTGAGCTCCCATTGTCGCCCCAGTTTCTGCCAATCTAGCAGCTTGAAAGCATGCAAATGCGAGTAGATCAATAGTTACCACTTCGGTGGGAAGATAATAGCATTTCGTGACATCATGCTGGCCACATGATTGTGGAAATATCTTTGGACATCACTGGTTCAATGGCCTTGAAACAGAGTTGAGCACCACCCTCTATGATCAGCAATGATTAGCAGAGTAAAATCCTCTTTACCTTACCTTGGTCTAAATCAGGGGTCAGCAAGCTTTGGGTTTGAAGTGGATGATGATCCCTGTGAGTGGATGATGGGCCTCCTTCTCCAGGGAACCCTGACAATTTTGAGGTCTCTCTGGGCAAAGCATAGGGACAGGTCTTTTTCTTAAGAAAATGAAGTTGTTTCATGTTTGGGATGAAAGGCTGGAAAATTTTGGGTGGCCAAAAGTGGCTTGCAGGCCATAGGTTGCCAACCTCTGGACCAGTTTCTCAATTTCATCAACTTTAGGAAGGGTGGACTTCAATATCCAGAGGATACTGTTAGATTCTCCCCAGTGATTGTTGCTATTGGAAGATTTGGACTTAGCTTTTGTTTTAGATTTGTATTTCTTAACCTTGGCAAATTTAAGATGTGTGACCAACTCCCAGAATTATCCAGCCAGCCCAATTCGTTTTCTCTAATCTTCTTTTGTTAAGATGCTGCTTTTATTAAGCATTACTTTTCTTTTGATTATTATTATTAGTATTTTTTCTTATCATTTGTTCCATTGACTGTAAATCAGTGAACTAAGGGCATTCTGCTATTTCTGCCAAATGTTAGGCATATGAATTAGGTGGTGCTGTTTGAAACTAAGTGTGAAGATGATGGAACATAAATCAGAATTTCTCCCACAGTCATCTTTCTCATTTCTCTAAAAGAATAGAACAGAACAGAATAGTTGGAAGAGACCTTGGAGGTCTTCTAGTCCAGCCCCCTGCCTAGGCAAGAAACCCTACACCACTTCAGACAATGGATGTCCAATCTCTTTTTAAAAACTTCCAGTGTTGGAGCATTCACAACTTCTGGAGGCAAGTTGTTCCATGGATTAATTGTTCTCAATTAATTTCTCCTTAATTCCAGGTTGCTTCTCTCCTTGATTTGTTTCCATCCATTGCTTCTTGTCCTGCCTTCAGGTGCTTTGGAGAATAGCTTGACTCCCTCTTCTTTGGGGCAGCCCCTGAGATATCAGAACTCTGCTATCATGTCTCCCCTAATCCTTCTTTTCATTAGACTTGACATACCCAATTCCAGCAACCGTTCTTTGTATGTTTTAGGATATGCTCTTACACAAAACAGATTGGAGAAAATTATAGAAGTTTAAGGTAAAATCTGGGGGAAATGTTCCATTTGTGTTATCCACTAGATGATTAAAATTAGGCTCCATTCCCTGTTCTACATAGTCATACCAAATTTTAAGAAGAAAATGTAATTATTGGAAGTACTTGGAGCTTTCTTTTGTAGCTATTGTAAATATATAAAAAGAAGAAGGAAGGACATATTCTATACTAGAAAAATAATAATCTGACTATAATACAATTTCTTGTAAAGGCTGATTTTGAACTTAAGCCATGTTATCTAAAATTATTCAGCTGAATTTTAACTGAAAAACAGTGTGTTCAATCTGAACAAGCAAAAAAGGGCATTATTGAATATTTGGGACAGAAACACAATAAATGTGACATGGAGTTGGCATAACTGTGCAATTCTTTGTCTTGTGTAACTACTCAGCAGTAGCAAGCTGAGGATGAAATAATACACTGAAAATATTAGAAAATAAGGGCATTATAACCTTCTTATATAACCATGACCTAAAATAGATTCTTTGCGCTTGAAACATTCAAGAATTATTGGACAACTTCCATTACCTCATACCAACATGGGTATTGAATGATGGCCAATGTAGCTCAATGCATTTCAGAAAAAGGACCTACAATGTTTTAAAAAAAGTTCATTCCCAGGGC